TATCCTTAGACGGCTTTGTTTTGTTATTATAATAACTTATTTCTCGCAACATCTGTCGCTGAACAGTAGAAAAGATTTGCTTAGCTATTCTTTCTATGCATCAGTAGGTGTTTCGGATTATCTCTTTGAATATTTTCACTCTCGTAGTTAAAAAGAATTTTCTCTTTTCTCCCTTATGATTGGCTTACAGAATATACCCGCCTGTTGGACGTTTTTCCATATTTTGAGCAAACACTGTAAAATAAGGTAACGCTCGTCTCCACTCGCTCGGTTCCTTGACTTTATTAAGTTGGATCTGCGCAAGCGAACGCCCTTTGGTGACTTTTAAATCGAACACAATGCTCACGCCAGAAGTCCTGACTCCATTTGTAGAATAAATTTTTATATAGTGAAATACGTGGTTGTAAATTTGCCTCTATGTAGAAAAGATGCAGTAAAACACGCTCTACAAAACGACTATTAATTGACCCCGCTAGCTTCTCTAGTAAGAAAGCTATAAGCTTAGAAACGTTTCTCATATGAAGGGTGAATTATACATAATGCCGGTCTCGGTATTTTTGCTCTAACTCTCGTTCCTTAGGTTCCCTAGACCAAACTCTTTTTTTAGTAGAAGCGCTGTGAAATTTTCTACAAAATCATATCTAAACTTTAATTTCAGAACTTCAATCAAGAGAACCAAGAGAATTATACGAAAGGCGACAAAAATTAAAACTTCGTAAATTTGATATGATTTTGGACTTGAACTTTTTCTTCTGCTATTATTTCCGTAAAAAAGCGTAGCAAAAGTGAGATCTCGTTTGGTACTTTTAAATGGGCTCTTTCTCGTGGTTTGTAAAAAATGTTTTTAGAGCAGATAGTGTGCTCGAGAACCAAGTTTCAAAAATACGTGAAAAATCGACAACCCCCGTTTCCGACAGTGTGCGCAAGCACGAAACCGTGAACGTGATCGAAGTTTTGATTTTGCAGTTAGGTAGAGAAGAGCAATCATTTCTGATCAAAACAAAACAAACCTAATCGAAAAATCTTTTGTTTTGATGGAGTTATGGGACTTTTACTGAATGCATCACCATATGCAGAATTTTAAAAATTAATGAAAAAATGCATGACAACCGACAGAAAAATTATTATTTCGTCGTGGGTTTTGATGTAAAAAAGTTTGAAGTGTAGCCATTTTGTAAAGCGTGTTTTACTGCATCTTTTCTTCATGGAGACAAATTTACAACCACGTATTTCACTATATAAAAATTTATTCTACAAATGGAGTCAGGACTTCTGGCTCACCCTTTAATGTCTTGGGAGGATAATATAGCACAAGAAAGAGCTACGAGAAAATATTTCAATCTTACCTTCTAGTCTCAACTGACCAATGATTCATCGGAATACAGCAAGCCCAGGTTATTTAAGGATCGTACGGGAATAGCAGTGTCTTCTGGTAGAGAAATCACCAAGCTCAGTAAGTTTTAAGTAAATGGTTGTTTTTCGAAAATACACTGTTTAGATTATCCTGTCATCCTTCCTTTGTTGAAAAGATTCTTTGCTCCGTACGACTACGTATGTAGAAAACTTTAATTTGTTCTATAGACACGTAGAAAAATTTTTGGAAGTAGGTAAAGCATAGTGTTATCTGTCAGCAGAGGATCTTTCAAAATGCGTATTAGAAGAGAAGGTAACTAATTATTCGATAGTATCTCATTGTTTTGGAAAGTATTTATATTCAAGATTTTTTTCAAGTGAATACTTCTCAAATACTTGGTATAACCAAAAATTAAGAGACAATTTTTGTAGTAAAGTAGCTGACATCGAAGTCGATTAGATATATATTCAGAATCATATATAATATAGTGTACAGTAATGAACACATTCTTTGAAAAAAACCTCACATATACATGCATTGGTATATTAAGAAATACTCAATTAACAAATGTAGAAAAGTAATATTAAATATTAGTTAACCCATTCAAAGGTTTCTTGAAGTCTCATCAAGTATCTTAAAAAATTGTACATGCTGAGGACGTTTTGATGTACCTTCGAAGTTCACTAATGAAACGATGATATTCTGTTACGGGCATTGTTGTTTTGTGATTACATTGTAATTCTTCATTTAAATAGTCATACATTTTTGGCCTATTCGTTTTACATGATTGATATACTTCGAGTAGTGTATTTCCGTCTGAATTTTCAAGCAACATTGCCATTTTGTCAAGGTTATTATCTAAGAGAAACTGGCTAACATTTGCAGCTGTCCATGTTTCTACCCTTTTTTGTTGATATGGTGTTCCAGAATCTGGTAGTCTATCAAGATCCTTGGATGTCCTTACTATTATATCATCTTCACGTCGTTTACTGCGTTTTTCCGGTAACAATCCATCACTATTAACATCGGATGAACGTGATGTATTGGTACTTAATGATATTCTTACCTTTGAGTCAGTAGGTGATAATGAGAGGGACGAAAGTGAATGCATTTCTTTCTTATCGACTTGTTGTTGTTGTTGTTGTTGAGCATTGCTGCTTGATATATTATTCTCATCGTCGCTCATCATATGAGGGGTAGTTGAGTACATCGTTTTTGACAATATATCTAAATTTTGACCTAACTCTGAAATCATGTCAGATATAAATTCAGACATTCCATTAACCAATGTATCGCATGACATATGGTGCAAAGCATCCATCATAATTTCTGTATATTTTGCATTAAGTTCCTCGGAAGTTGGTTGTCGATTATTATCAAACATGGTTAAATAATCAATTGGTGATATATAACTGCATTTTTCTTTTAACGTATTCACGAAATCAGTGAGATTATTTACCATGAGTTGTGTCTTAAGGTCCATGGTTTGAGGTGTAACCGATTCCATCTCTGTACTGATTACTAATGTTGATAATTCATAATCTTCAATTTGTTTATTTTGAGCTAATGTCATTATTTCAATGTCATCGCATCTAGTACGTTTATGCACTTCATTATTTATGCAGGTAAATGTCGGATTATAGTGTTTACCATCATATGTTAAGAATATTCTTGTTGGATGTCCATCATTTTCTCCTATTCGATAAATGGCTTCATTTGGATTTTGTAAATGTAGATTAATAACACAAATTTCAACAAAATATAAATTAGAACATATAGATAATTCAATGTCTCCACCCCACATGTCTGGATGACGTAACCATTGACAATAATCTCTTCGTGATTTCTCTAATATTTCATCTGTATATGTGCTCGGATTTTGTTCAATTACTTGCGCTATAATATTTCTTAACTCTTGTGTGCATACAAAACGATAATTTGGGTCCGAACGAAATCGATAATCATCTACCGAAGAAACTAATAAGAAATACAAACTTGTAAAACAACATGAATGATCTCGTGGAACAGATAAATAACAAAGTTTTGGAGATGATTGTATTGATGATAGATTTGGGAAGCTTGTTTCTTTCGCACATTGATTTTTCAGCATGTTAATGTTTTCACACATAACCGAACCAAAAAATTCATCTACAGACACGCGATTCAAAGCATCCAACGTTATCTTGGTTGTTTGGGCTGTAATATTTTCCAGTGTTGGTTGAGGATCATCATTGAACATAGTTGAATAATCAATTGATGACATATAATTTTGTGCTTTATTAAAACGATCTTTCACATCAAGAAAAATCTCCGCTTTATGTTGTAAGTTTAAGTTAGTCATTTGGGATATAAATGTGGACCTTTCTGTGTTAGCAGCTAACGTTGATAAAAATTTACATTCAGGCATAGTAGCATCAAGAAATGTATCAAATGACATATGGTTTAATGCATCTAGCATAATTTCTGAACGTTTTGCTAGACATTCTTCTAACGTCGGTTGCCGATTATTATCGAACATGGTTAAATAATCAATTAGTGATATATAGCCACAGTGTCTTTTTAACTTATCAACTTCGTCGACAATGTCTATTAACTTATGATGCGGAAACCAACGCTGCATTAGACTTGTTTGTATGTCAGGTAAATATTGTGTAAGTGCATTAACAAATGTTTCAAGAGGCATATATTGTAGGGCATTCTGTGTAATTTCTAAGTATTTAGCTAAAATTTCTGTATGCGTTGGTTGACGATTATTAGCGAATATGGTCAAATAATCAACTGAACATGAATAATTGCATTTCGTGTTCAATATATCAATTATATCAGTAAATAATTTTTTTCAGGGTTAATGATTTAATTGAAACTGCTTGAGGATCATCCGGATGTGTGTCTAATAAACATCGTTTGTCTAATAAGAAACAGTCTTGTATTATTGGCGGTTCTATAAATATCAATATTTTAAAAAGTAAATCTACCGTATTATGATTCTGGGATATTTGTTTTATTGATTTAAGATTATTATATAATTGAGATGTATTTTTAAAGTCGTCTCCGTTAAACAATTTTATTTCATTTATATAATCAATATTCGATACTATATTAATCATATTATTCAAAATAAACGCTGAACTGGATAAACTGTCAACAAATTGCTCAGGATTACAATCTGAAATTTCATATGATAATGGTAGTGTTTCTAAATTATCATAATTACAAATTAATCTTTCCCATCTTGTCCATGTATCCTCATCACCATTTCCATCATCATATAAGGCAAAGTTATTTAATATATCTAATACGTTGGTATTTCTGTCATTAACGGTCTTAGGAAACCATTGTTCTCTCAGTTTTACAAAATCATCTCTTACTTGTTTAATATCAATTGCACGTAAAGTTTTAAGAAAATATTGATATTGAATATATTGATCACATTTAAGGTTTATTAATTCACCACAAACATTTTTGGTTGATGATATCAACGTTTGATCATCTAAATTAATGTCATTTTGTAGAATATGTAAAGCAGTTCTTCTTGAATCATCTGCATATGAATCAAGAAGATTTACACTTTCTATAAAGTAATGTTTTACCAAACTATTAGATAATAATTTTGTAGTAAATTGAATCCACATGTATGCTAATTTTTTTCCAATTTCGTCATTGTTTTTTCCTTCCACATTATTTATATCATCATGTTGTTGTTCACACATCCAAAATATTGTTGTCTTAACAAGATATGATCTAATATATTGTTCTTTACCTTGTTGAGATGTTGTATTTTTATATAAATGTTTATAGTAGATATTTTTTGCAACACCATTCAATATTTTTTCATTTTTTGTACGTTCATTAGCAAGTATTTTTTCAATTACAGAAAATGAATATCGAAAATCATATTCTTTATCATTATCCAGTGATGTAGGCGATTCTTTTGCCACTAAATGCATATAAGTAGTACTTATTTTTTCGTATAAATCACAACGATTTTTTTTTAAACGATTTAAAAATGGTATCACATTTTTTGGCCAAAATTTTAATTCTAATGCTGGTACCAAGTCCATGTCAAAATTTGGTATTGAATTAATCATCTCAAATATATTTGAAAATAAATCAGGATAACTTAATTTTTTATGAGATTTGTAAAAATGAATTAGTGCCCTTGCTTTTTGTTTATGCTCCATTGTCAATGGTATATTAAATGCTGGACTTGTTAGATGTATGTCCGTATCGTTACAAGTTAATGGAGGACGATCAGAGAAAAGTATTTCATGAAAAATTGGTAGTTGAGTTTTTATTGTATCTGTCAAATATTGATAATAAATCATATAGTTTTCCTTTAACATTATCATTAATTTACTATTTTTTCGGTTTTCTTCAATTTTATCTAATGCTTCTTTAAAATTCTTTGAATAAGCATATGAATCAAAATTTTCTCTTATTCCACCAGCAGATACTTTTATAGCAGCTGTTTGAGATGATATTTCAGATTTCATTCGCCTTTTATATAAGTCATTTTGATTATGATTAGCGATAAACAATAAATGATCTTGTTTCATTTTAAATCCGTTTACATACTGTTTATCATCACTATGTGATAATGATGCTAATGTTGTATTGTTCCATTTAACACGAACATAGTGAGGACATTCTTTGATTTTAATTAATTCATCTTCAGAATCTAATGTACCAAATATAATTATAATATCAATATCAGGACCAATATTATACTCGGCAAATTGGCAACAATTGCTTTGTCCTTCAGCACTAGAACCGGTCAAAAGTAATTTAAGATCCATTTCCAATTTGATTTGTGATCTAATATCTTTTATGTGGTTTATTTATATTACATACTGCATCTAATGGGGAAAAAACCGTGTATCCACTTCCTTATAAAACGTACTGTATATTTCAAGTATTTTAATGCAAAATACAATGAAAAGAAGAACAAAAATCGAAAATGTAAATGCAGGCAAATAAATATTATTGTTTACATAACATGAATGAACTGATGCACACACTATAGTATGAACTACGTTCTATGTTTGATTTAAGGTGAGCGAGAAATGTGTAACTTTTTTCTCTTTGAATTACAAGAAAATGTGCGATTTTAAGAACACCCTCTTTTTACACCCTCTTTTTTAAACAATTTTCCACTTTGAGCTGAACATATTCTAATGTAGAAGGGCTACAAAGAAAGACCACATGCAGCATTTCACGACCTTTCTTGAACAAGTTATGAATATTTTAACTTCTACCTTCAAGGATTGTAAAATTCAACCTTTTAGTTTCATGAATTTTGATTTTCTTTCCTACGCATTCAAAATTATTTCTATTGCATAATCTAGTAGAAGAAAGTGATCCCGTCACAAATGAGACGTCTCTCAGGATTTTTCAATGAGTTTGGTAGGGATATAAACGGTGCAGTAGAAGCTCTGAAAAACGGCCCTTTGAAAAAAATGCTTTTTTCCTAGTAGACTTTTTTAAACAGACTCTTCAATCCAGTCACATTACGAACGCTGGAAGACAACGCTGTGTGTGACTTAAGAAAGGAAGTAAAAAGCTCTGAGTCTTTCTGCTCTGGTTTTGTTTAATTGACTCCAAAACAAAAGGTGCAGAAAGCCCCGAATTCAACATATAGTAATCGAGATATGTCATTTACTTTCGTTGGGACAATGATTCCGTCAGGACCAAAAAACAAATTTCCAATTTGTATCGTCACAGGTCCACCATAAAGGAAACAATAATAAAATATCCTTATAATGGTATTTTGTTCGTGAACCAAGTAACCATCGTGTTTCTACTGCAATATTTTTTTTTAAGCTTCTTTCTTTTCAACTCTTTTCTTGCTCATTTCCCTAAATGCAAACTCACTGTTCTCATGAAAATACATTACAGCATCGTTCTGTATAAAATGGCAGGTGATTTTGGACTAGCAACCAAAACGTGTCCAATAAGCGTATAGGCATGATTCTACATTACTTAAAGATGATAGAGAGTTTCAACCGTTTAATAATCTACCAGGAAAATGATTGATCGATCTGCGAAATCTCATTAAAACTTTTTACATTAATCAAGTGTACAGGAGCTGGCAATAACTCTACTTGACACTTTCAGGAGATGGCAATAGCTCTAGTTGACACCTTCGTCAGATGGTAATAGCTCCAATTGACACCTTCACGAGGTGCCAATAGGTTCTCACGAGGGAACCACCCGAGGTGATAAATCGATTTCAGGTTGGGACTATGTTTGTTAGAAAGGCCCTAACGAGTAGTGAAATACCCTATCTTGGTTCATCCCCATGGTGCTTCCTGGCAGAGTTATGAATTTTTCAATTTTTCACACAAAAACTCAAATTTTTTCGGAAAAGTTTCATTTCTCGGCTCCTGGAGGTTAAATTGGACTTATATTTTTTATATGAGTAGTGGTCATGTACCTAGTTATTATCTGTAAGTTTGAACTCATTTGTCCAAAATTTCAGGGAGATACGAATTTTTCATTCGAACGGATGCTAATTTGACTTACTCCATGAGAGTCTGCTCGATGATGGAAGCTTCGATGGAGCTCGTATTTCTAGCATAGGGAGGACTAGTCATCAGCAATATATGATAAAAGTTTCGGCTCATTTGCTTCTTTCCTTCAGGACAAAAAATTTGCTCCCTCTTCGACAATACTTATTCTTTTCCCCATTCTATTTGAAAGAATATTATCATTTTGACAAGCGCACACATAAGGCGCCGCTAAATCATAGTTACAACACTATTTTATTTTCTCAATATTTACATATGGTTGGATAGATGAGAGCGAGCTAAATCCAAAAATCACCTTTAAAAGCTTCCCAGACCTTTTCTTCGTGGTAACAGACGAAAAATACGAGAAGGATGCTAAAATCGAGAAAACTCGCCCTCCGAGAAAAATGACGATAGTTTTTTCTCATTGCATTTTGAAGCTTTGAAACCTTTTTTTTCTGAATCAGCACTGCAAACTGCATATGAAAATGTAGTTTTGAAGTTTTCGCATATTACGAAGCTGGTGGGAAAATATTCGTTTCCAAGGGAACTCATAAACGTGACCCTCCCTCCGTTCAAAAAACCATCAAGTCTCGTGCCTTAAGAGATGAAGCCTTGTTTCATACCACATTTGAACCGCCTTGAAGCAGAGAACAAAGTTATAGCTGCAGATTTCTGATTTTTTCCTGATGGCTCCTGAAGACCCGGTTTTCTGGAAAACCAGTTTTTCAGAAACTCTAAAAGATAACTAAAACCTTTCTTAATGATGCACAATTGTAGCCCGCAAATTTCTGATTAAAATGAGACATCTCCCAGCTCTGCACGACCATACTTCGCAAAGTTATAGAATTTATAACAAAAGCTCTAAATTAATTTCTCCTTCTTTCTGTATCTCTGAGCTCAACAAAACTAGTTTCAAAATGGATCTTCAGATAGTATTCTTGAATGACATTCACATGTAAGACATTATAGAAAAGTTGCAATTAGTTTGTGAGACTTCGGTGTTGCTTGGAAAGGAATCTACATTCGGAATTCTGCTGATTTGCGTCCTCCATCAGACATTTGGTTTATGAAAAGACGAAATTAAGTGAGAGTCTTGTTCACTTTCAATGCTGCAGCTAGTGCTTCGCCTCCTCGATCAGATATTTGGTTCTGGGAAAGATTAAGTTGAGTGAGAGTGTTGTTCACATTCAATCCTTCAGTCGGTAACAAAGAACCTTGCTACAGTACACACCTACAGTGGGCATGCAAGCGGACATTAAGCGAAAAAACGAAAGTACACCTTTTTACGATACGATTAGTGGGAAACATACTTCATCAAACGGGCTATCGAATAGTGTATAAAGATCCATTTAAATCAACTACTTCGAGGAGAACCGAGTTTTAGAAAAAACACCTTGAATATGACCGTTCTGTACTTGACTCTGCCTTCAAAGAAGCACGTGAACCCTATCTAAAGCACATATTCTGAATCAGCACATCCTAACGAGTCTACTGATAACAAAAGATCCCCGTTTCCGGCTGCTACCAGACGAAACATCACTTACAGTCGTGGTCAGTTCAGTCCTCTGATAAGGTTAGTCAGTGCAGTGACATCGCTAAAAAGCGCTAAGCTCTAAAATAACTTCCAATTACATGAGAATGTTCATTAGGACCTACTCTATCTATACTGCATGCGCTTTGATGCGCTTTTTCTCTTAACTCGAGTTATGGATTTTCCAAAACCCGAAGGTTTTTGAGGTATTCCGATCTTTTCTCCCTCATAAAAGCACTTTTTCGTAAACATAAGCACATATTTGGAATCAGTGTGAAACACTACATCGAATGATGTATGAGTTAAAAATTTTCTACCGGTATATTTTGCTTTTTTAAAAATCTGTCTCTGAAAATTTGAGACACTTTTTCTCGGTAGACACATCGCTGAAGTCGCATTTTTCTAAGAGTGGTGGGATGTGTGGAGAAAACAAATGCATAAATAACTAATATATAAACTATTTAATGTATAAACCAACAGATGTATAAACGAATACATGTATAAATGTGAAAAAGTAAAATGTGATGAATTATTAAATCTGAAAATGTTTTTTCAACTTCTTTCTTTATGCTTGGTAGGCCGTACCATAAAAATCCACTAAAATTTGACAATGTAAATCAAGTATAATTTGATTGTACCAGTATAAAATGTACTGAAACTATTTGTTTTAGTGCAGCCTTTTTATGCTACAGTCACTATGATAAAAACTTTTGTAATTGTCGTGTGTTTGATATTCATTGCCCTAATTTTATATTTGTATATTTAAAAATGTTAGAGCTTGGAATTGTCTTCGCGGCTGACTATAAGTCGAGAAAAATGTTCATGTCGACTGAAGGTAATTTAATGAGAAAACCATCACTTAGACGGTTCTCGAATAAAGGACGAGGTGCACTAAAAGCGAGAATCGGTCACATTTCAGATTTTCTCGAAAGGTGTCCAGAACGAAAGAGCATGTGATGGATAGCTCTTTCATTTTCCCATAAAATGAGATACTGGCTAAGTTTCTACGATGTTGGACGACCGAGTTACAGGCTTTTTAACATCACGAATATAAGTTGATCGAAAATTTTTGCTTTAATACCGAATGGTTCCATCTGTATGGTATTTTCTATGGTACTATTTGAGAGAACATTGTAAAAACTTGGCCAGCATCTCATCTTGTGGAGAAGTTAATGGAATATTCAATGATGTTGTTGAAAAACTTCTGAAAGAAATTTTAAGGCCATTAGGTTTTCTGGAAAACCGGATTTCTTAGAAATCTCATCTTAAGTCCCCTATGTGTAACATAACTTTTCCTCATCGAAATATATGGAACTCGACGCACTCTTTCATTTGATACCAAGTTCAAGGTTCTCCGCTAGGAAATGTGGTCAGCAAGTGCTATACGGGTTAGGCCAGATCCGCTGGAAAATGAGAAAAATACGTTTTTCCGGTGCGAGAGTAAAATGGTTATAACTTTTTCTCTAACAAGGCTAGAGACTTGCGGCTTTCGCCATTCAGTTCAGCTCGCTGAGCTCTACAATATGAGGTAGGTCTCGTCACTGCGCTAGTGATATTCCTGTTTCATTCCTGTTGAGATCTGATCGCGAACTCGATTTTTTCCCGTGTAACGAAAAAATGCTGATCTTGGCAAAATAAAATCGCGATCTTATAATTGGAATGGCGTTCTCGATCAAGTTCATTATGCGATCCCGTTTCATTTGTGTTTCAAGAGAGTGACGGGATTTCGGCAGGATTATAGCAAGATCGTGTCTAATTCGAGACAAGATCTTGAGGAGATTTTTCCTTTGCCCACCGTTGAGGAAAATTTTTTATTATTATATCATTCTGTTCCTTAAACTATCAACGTACAAAATCAATCCTTGAACGAAACTAGGATCACACTGACTTCGTATTTTCCTTTATCCAGTCTGTAACGATGTAATATTTTTTTATTTCGTCCATCCGTCGATAGAAGAAGAAAAACAGACAGACAGTGTGCGTCTATTATCGTCCACTGTGTTTATTCTTTGTTCTCTTTTAACATATGTAATAGATATACAATAAAAGTATATACAATTATAGTTATTTCTTAACTTTTTAACGCAGTGCCATGAGTGTTTTTTGGGTTTTGTTGTAGTTAATGAAAATAGACTAACTGTTTGACTATTGTCATCAGTAAGTACACAGCAATTTTCGAGAGAGAAGAGCATTTGGAGAGGAAAATTAATTTTTTTGTCTCAAAGTTGAACTATTTTCTTCTAGACAGTTTTAGAATCGAAAGAGAATATTCTTTCTCGGACAATGCATCAAATCTAAAGTCTTCTCCGGTGTGTAGGTTCAGTTAAATATGTTGACTGTGCAGAGATCTCAGAATGAAAAGTTACAACAGTGAGAGTAATGCACAAGGATGGGGTGAATACTTGTCTGGTATTGGCAAAATTTGGATTAAAGATGGAGAATGGTTCGAAATGTCAGATTCAGTGTCAATAGCGTAATGTTTTGTATTGTTACAAATGCTAGTAAGATCTTCCATGAACCTGATTGATGTTTCATAATTTAAATTATGAACGTCTGGACGTTTCTTTAATGATGCAATTGTTAACGCTAAAGCAGCCAGACTATCCGTGGGGCCAGAAATCCGGTCCTCTACCGGTAGCTGAAAGACGGGAAGATGCTTAAGTTCTTCATTTGCTTGAAATTTTTTTGAAGTAAAAAAGGTCGATGTAATCATATGTAACATGGTAGGGCTAGAAGAAAGAGATTTTTAAAGGTGAACTTTCAAACTTAAGTCTGATAAGCTTCCTTAGCAAGACGTTCACCTTCAGTATAGTTGTTAAGAAGGTTAGTGATATAACAAGACGCTCAACAAATTTCGCTCTCCTCCTGTATTATGAGGCATGTCTATAGCCATGAAACTTAATACACTATGACATTAGTTAGGGTTCAATTGATGGCCAGTCAATATGATCAAATTTATGCCATGCACTAAACTTGCAAACTTGATCTGCAAACCATGATCACTAGAATTAGATGGTGAGATGGTAAATAAAATTTTGTGTTATAATTGTACTTAATGTGCATTTTTGTTATGTCATCCATACGAATTGGTATCCGCCAGAAACCGGATTTTAGATCAATTTTGGTAAGTTAACCTTCACCTAATCTTTGAATAGTTTGTTCCATGTTGGGTAGTGGGTATTGATCTTTAATGGTGACGTGGTTCAGTTTCTTATAATCGATAACCAGCCGCCATGAACCATCAGATTTTGGTGTAAGCAGGGCTGGCGAAGCATATTCTGACTTTGTTTTTGAAATCAAACCGGCTTTCAATAACTCTTGCAATATGTCATACATAGCTTGCTCCTTCTTAGGTGATATCGGATAAAAATGTGAGCTTGGTGGGGAGTGCGCTTCAGTATTAATTGCATGAACGACTTCAGTTTTTGCCACAGATATCTTGTTGGTGCCAAACAGATGTTTAAACTTCAGGAGCATCTTTCGAAATGTGTCACGATCTGATTCTCCGTTCACATCGCTGTGCATGTGGCGGTCTTCAATTTTGTTTATCAACTGCTCAATATGTTCTTCGGGACTTAAGTTTTGTGGCTCGGCTGGAACACTTTGCTGTTGCACAGGTAAAGTGGAGACACCCATTATAACTCCTCTTGACAACATGCAAGGATATTCTGAAGGATTATAAATTGTAAGTACAGCTCGATGATCTGTAATTTGGAGTAAGTTATTTGCCATAATAATAGGAATTTGTGCTCCCAAATTGTGGGATGGTCTGAATAGTGTGCTTGCTGTCGAAATACATGCTGATACTCTGATGATGATTTCTTCTTTAGGTGGGATCTTAACTGACTCTGTCAACCTCAATGGAACTTTAATTACGTTTTGTTGTGTCTCGATAGGAATGGTTACTTTAAAATTGCCGCATGTAGTCATTATAATGTCGTTTGCAAAATCAAATTGTAAATTGTGTTTCCGTATATAATCCACTCCGATAATACAATCTGTAAATAAATCTTTAACTACTGCTGCCACAATTGTTGTGCGCAGGTTATGTAGTTTAATTTGCAATTCGACTATACCTATAACATTTAATGATGCTACACTATCAGCCAGAGAGAGTGTTTGTTTGGTATCCGAGGAAATAAATTTAAAATGTTTTGTTTTTCTTAATATGTCTTCTTTAATGATGGTAGTAGTTGCTCCAGTATCAAATAACGCATGGACTTTTAGATTATTAATAACAACTGGAGCAAAAATCAATGGTGGATTAGTAATATTTGCTTTTTCGGAGACATTACCATCATTCAATGTCGCCGCTGACCGAAACTTTGCTGTTGTGGGCAGTTTCTGGCATAATGATCTAATGATTGGCTTATATGGCAGCCAGAATAGTTGTGGGAATAATTTTGTTGAAGAAAAGCATACGATTCCCGATAACTGCCTCTCTGTTTGAAATTTCTTGGATTAGTAGTGAATTGCGAAGGTATTGATAGAGAAACATTTGGTTGTAGAATACCATTAACATTTGCATCATGTCGTTGAAGTTGTTCAGTGTATTCAAATCGTCTGTGTGGTGGTACATAATTCAAATTTTGCTTGCTGCGGCTTCCGTCACAGTCGGATCATTTTTCACCAGATGTGCTAACTGTTCAAACATTTTGGCATAATTCAAAAATTCAGTCGTTGTTTTGGGCTGTTTTTCTAGTATTTTAATTTTAATTGACGGTCTGACATTCGAAATTAAATGTTGGAGAATGTTATGATCAGTTAGTGATGGGTTAACTTCACGACTAATATCGATCAGACCGTTATAAAAATCGACCACGGACAGATGAATTGACTGCTGATAATTTTTCATTCGTTCAAATGCTTCCTGTTCTTTGAACTTCGAACCAAATAACGAATTGTGACCATGGATTAATTAATGCAACGTTTCTGATATACCACTTTAATGCGTGATCTTGTAGAATTGTTGGTATGCATTGCAATCTGATCTTATCATCTCAATTATGAGCAGTAAATTGTACCTCTAAATCATTAATCCAACTTATAACGTTTTGATTTTTGCCACTGAATGTTTTCAACTTTTTAATAACTTATTCGTTAATTGTCTTTAACAGACTCAAATGTAATGGATCTTTGCTCGTTGGGGTATGATTTCGAACCGGTGGATGAGATGAAGAAGCTGTATCTGTGGTAGTTGTCATTGTAGCTGATGCTAAATCTGCGGCACCTTTCAAATATTGAATTAACTATTGTTTAAATTTATCCGAATTATTATTAATTATTTCCTTCAAACTTCCATACCAAGGTTTTAAAGAATCATCTTGAAAATGTTTAGCAGCCTCCTCTGGCCAGCACAGCTGATGATAATTTAATTTACGAAAAATTATTTCAATTAAAGTAAGCCACTGATCCGCAGCTTCGATTCCTTCCGCC